CGCTTCCACCGGGTGGGAAAAATAAAACAGACACGCACACAATTTCCCAAATACTAAAAGACACTCCCCGACAAACCCTAAACCCTAAACCCTAAACCCTGCCGCGCCGTGTGCGCTCGTCGCCTGCATGCTATCCTCGCCGCCGCTCCCCGCCCAGGCTAACCCTGAACCCTAAACCCTAAACCCTAAACCCTCAACTTCAAAATCTAAACTCTAAACCCTCAACCCCATTTAAAGAAAGACAAAATGCCGGGCAAATACCCAAAACCCCGCTAACCCCTGCTGCTGGGGCGCCCAGAGGGCGCAGGCAACACTCAAACCCTAAACCCTAATCCCTAAACCCCAAACCCTAAACCCTAAACCATAAACCCTAAACCCTCAATGGAAGCAATTTACCCCCCACACCTCAACAATCTCTCCTTTCTATCTACAGGCAGCAGCAGCAACAACAATACTGATGGCTGCAGCGCATCCGAGCAAAACCCTAGCTCCTAAACCCTAAACCCCAAACCCTAAACTCTAAACCCCAAACCCTTAACCCTAAACCCTAAACCCTGCCAAGTTCATTCGCCTCGCACTGTGCCCTAGCTCTTCTGGCCCAACAGCAACGCCCCAGCCAGCGTTGCTGCAGCTAGCTGCAGCTAGCCGCTGCTGAGCTGCTGCAGCTAGCTGCTGCAGTTACCTGCAGCTAGCCGCAGCTAGCTGCGACTAGGTGCAGCTGGCTGTGGCTAGCTGTGGCTAGCTGTGGCTAGCTGCAGCTAGCCACAGCTAGCTGCAACTAGCTGTGAGGTGCTGCAGCTAGCTGCAGAATTTATGAACTGTTGGGACCCGTGGCTAGCTGCAGCTAGCTGCAGCAAGCTGCAGCTAGCTGGGGCTATCCCCGTGGCTTCCAGGCCCCTAAACCCTAAACCCTAAACCCTAAGGAGAGGGCCCACAAGGCAAGGGCCGTCCTTCCTATAGTACCTGCCACGCTGCCTTTGCTGCCAAAACAAATCTGCTGCTGCTGCTGCTGCTGCTGCTGCTATCGAGCAACATCAGCAGCAAGCCGAGCTACTGCTGTGGCGAACTATAAATGGCTGATAGACAAATGCAAGCCTTCTGAGTTGCGCAGCAGAAGCAGCTGCAGCAAAAGCTGCAGCAGAAGCTGCAGCAGCAGCTGCAGCATCTTGGTGTTTAGAGGTGCACCTCAGTTCTGCTCTCCTTGCAGCACAGAGGCATGCTGCTTCTGCTGCAGTTGCAGCAACAGGGGCTGCTGCAGCAGCAGCTGCTGCTGCTTGGGGTGTCTGTACACCTCAGCTGTGCTGCTTAGTTACACCAAGAAGGCACGCCAGCACACTGCTGCTGCTGCTGCACCAGCAGCAGCAGCTAATTCAGTAGTTGAAGCTGCTCTAGCGGCAGCAAAGTGCTGCTGCAGCAACAAATCGCTGCAGCAGAGTGCTGCGGCGGCAGAAAACTACAGCAGCTGCAGCAGAAAGCTGCAGCAGCAGCAGCTGCTGCTGCGGGGGTTTCCCTAGTGCGCCTCAACAGCAGCAGCTGCTTCAGCGTCAGCTGCTTCAGAGTCAGCTGGTGCTGCAGCGGCGACGACAGCAGCAGCAGCAGCACGATCTGCATCTGCAGCAGCAGAATGATCTGAATCTTCAGCAGCATCATGATCTGCAGCAGCATGAACAGCATCTTCTTCTTCAGCAGCAGCAGCAGCAGCAGCAGGAGCTGCAGCAGCAGCTGCCGCCGACTCGGGTGCAAGGCCAAGAGTCTCAAGTGTAATTTTGTCTTCCGGCCGCCCCTGAAGAGACAAGCAGCAGCAGCAGCAGCAGCTGCAGCAGCAGCAGCAGCCTGCTTGTGGAGCAGCACAGCAGCATAATAATTATTATTAGCAGCAGCATTAGCAGCCGTAATACGAGCAGCAGCATTAGCAGCAGCAGCAGCAGCAGCATGAGTATGGTCGCACTGCATCAGCAGCAGATTCCAACAGATTTGCTGTATCACTGCTGCAGCATTAGCAGCAGCAGCAGCTCTAGCCGCGGCAGCAGCATTAGCAGCAGCAGCCTCAACAGCAACAGCAGCTCTACAACCAGCAGCAGATCTAGCGGCGGCTGCAGCAGCTCCAGCAGCAGCAGCAGCAGCTTCAGCAGCAGCAGCTTCAGCAGCAGCAGCTCCAGCAGCAGCAGCTCCAGCAGCAGCAGCAGCAGCTCTAGTAGCAGCAGCAGCAGCTCTAGCAGCAGCAGCAGCATCTCTAGCAGCAGCAGCAGCAGCAGCAGCAGCGGGGGGAATTACAGTGCATTCTGCAGCAAATTCGGTTTGTCTGCAGCAGGCGAATCCCCATTTGCTGCTGGCCAAGTCATAATAAGAGCCCCAGACGCTGCTGTGGCTGCCGGGGTAAATGTCTTCTTCGTACTTCGACTTCGTGAAGGTCCTCTCGCGCCCACGCAGCACGCTGCAGCAGCAGCAGCAGCAGCAGCAGCAGCAACAGCAGCAGCAGCGGCAGCAGAAGTGGTGGAAATGAGAGGAAAGGGACCAAAAAAAGAAAATAAAAAGGAAATGAAAAGGAAATAAAAAGGAATCGAAGAGGCAATAAAAGGAAAATGAAAATAAGAATAAAAAGGAGTCAAAAAGAACCAAAAGAGAATTTAAAAAAAAAGAAAAAAGCAGAAAAAAGTAAATTCCTACCGGCCACCTTTGGAGTTATTGGACAAAAAATGAACCAAAAACCGAAATAAAAACCGGAAAAGAAAGGAAATAAAAAGAGAAGTAAATAAAGAATAAGAAGAATCACAAACGAATTTAAAAGAATCAAAAAGATCGAAAAAAGATCAAAAAAAGATAAAAAAGATGAAAAGTTCATTCTCACTGGCCATCTCGGGAGTATTCGACATCTTTATGGACCAGAAACGAACCAAAAAACGAAATATAAAGCAGAAAAAAGAGGAAATAAAAAGAGAAATAAAAAAGAATAAAAAGGAGACAAAAAGAATCCAAAAAGAATTCAAAAAAGATCGAAAAAGATCAAAAAAGGTTAAAAACGATTAAGAAATAAAATCTCACCGGCCATCTCGGGAGTACTCAACGTATTCTTCAGTTTGGGCGTAAAGGACTCTGGGATCGTTTTGGAGGTGTTCTTTGCCTCCGTAAGCTTCGAAAATGCTGTTTTGTTTTTGAATTTCCAGTTCCTAAATTGCAAAAATGAAGACTTTCGAAGCATTTTACTCATTTCAAACCGCAACAAACAAACAGCAAATCAAAAACGACATCTGCTGCAGCAAGCCGCAAAAAAAATCACCAAAATGACCAGCAGCAACACAACAACGCATGCAGCAGCAGCAGCAGCAGCAGCAGCAGCAGCACTAGAGTTAGGATTAGCAGCACGAGCAGCATAAGCACTAGCAGCATTAGTAGCAGCAGCACTAGCAGCACTAGCAGCGGCAGCAGCACTGGCAGCAGCAGCAGCACTGGCAGCAGCAGCAGCAGCAGCACTGGCAGCAGCAGCAGCAGCAGCAGCACTGGCAGCAGCAGCAGCAGCAGCAGCAGCAGCACTGGCAGCAGCAGCAGCAGCAGCAGCAGCAGCAGGGCATACGGCTTTTTTCTTTTGGTGTTCTCTGTAGAGGAACTCGAGCTGCGTGGGCTGGGCGTTGAAGTGGACGTTTTGGCCGTGTTTGTAGGCCTCCCAGGCGAACAGCTGCGCGCAAACCCCAAACCCCAAACCCTAAACCCTAAACCCCAAACCCCAAACCCCAATGCCCAAGCCCTGAACCCTACGCCCTAAAGCTAAACCCGAAAAAAGGGTTTGGGCCAGGCGGCCCGCGGCGAATATCCCGCGCGGAGCGCGGCCGGCGGCGCAAACCCCCGGCGCGCGCGAAGCGCAAACCCTAAATTAGGGTTTAGGGTTTGGACCTGCAGCTGCTGCGTGGCCTTGACTTCGCCGGCGCGGAGAAGCGCGTTGTCGCCGCGAAATAGCGCGGCGCGCGGGGATCGACTTTTGGAGTCGCAAAAAGACGATCCCAGCTGCAGCCCCGCGAAGGGGTCGCCGCGCAGGGATCGACTCTTGGGATCGTAAAAAGCCGATCCCAGCTCCAGATTCAGCAGGTACTTGGCGGTGTCTTCGCGGATGCGGAGGTCCCTGGTGACGGCTCTGCTGCGGGCATCGGTGCATGCAACTGGGGCTGAGGTTTTGTCGAAGTCCGCGAGCTTCACGTCTTCGTCTGCGGAGGCTTCGGAGTCGGTGTCGGTTTCGCTGGCTGCTGCTGCTGCTGCTGCTGCTGCTGCTGCTGCTGCGGGCGGGCTGGGCGAAGCGCCGGCTTCTGGGGCCTCCGGGGAGCCGAGATCGCCCGCCGCCGCCGCCGCTGCTGCTGCTGCTGCTGCTGCTGCGGCCTTCTGGGCCTCGCGCTGCTGCTGCTTCCTGCGGCGGCGCTCCTCGCGCTGCAGCCGCCGCTGCTGCTGCGCCGCGGGCGCCTGCTGCTGCTGCAGCAGCTGCTGCTGCTCCTGCTGCTTGCGGCGGCGCCGCTCCGCCTGCGCGCTCTCGTGCTCCCGCAGCAGCAGCAACGACAACAACGAAGACGAGGGCCCCTAGGAAACAGCAGCAGCAAATATATTTCTGTCTTAGCCACAATTTAAATTCGTCCAGTTCTACAAAAAGAGGGCGCTGCTGCTGCTTCATGGAGCTGCTGCCCCGGGGGCCCCGAACCTGCAGCAGCAGCAGCAGCTGCTGCTGCTGCTGCTGCTGCTAGTGGTGCTGCTGGACGGCTGCTGCACAGCTGCGAAGCAGCGGGGCCTAAATCTAATTTGCTGTCGGGTTTATTTGACCTTTTGTTTTCTAATGTCTTTAAATTGATGCAAAGAAGACTCGGGGCTCCGCAGTGTAGACAGCCTGGCAGATCAAGGCAGCAGCAGCAGCAGCAGCAGCAGCAGCGGCAGCAGCAGTAGCAGTCCGGGCTTCTTCCGTTATGGCTGCCCTAGTGTCTTTAATTCGACGGCTGGAAGAGACACTCCGGAAACACCCCCAGCAGCAGCAGCAGTAGCAGCAGCAACAGCAGCAGCAGCAGCAGCAGCAGCGGCACGAGGCCCCCAGGTGCCACCTGGCGCCTTCTGCTGCCTGCGCTGCAGAAAAAGGGAAATTAGTTCTTAATAAAACGAAGAGACGCAAGTGAGGTGTCTGTACACCTCAGCGCGGCTGCCAAGTTTGCTGCTGCTGCTGTGCTGCTCTTCCTTGAGTGTCTGTACACCGTAGACCACTGGTCCTCTGCAGCAGCAACTTCTGCTGCTCTTGCTGCTGCTGCTTCCCGAAGCCCTGCTGTCCGTTTTGGGGCCGGGACCAGCGAGCTGCAGCAACGACGCGCCCTTTCCATCAGCAGCAGCAGCAGCAGCAGCAGCAGGAAGAGCCCAGCACAAGGGGCCAAAGACGCAAAGGCAGCAGCAGCAGCACCAAATCTGAAGCAAAGGCCTTTCAGAGTGCTGCACTAGTTTTGCTATAAAGGCAGCAACCGTAAAGGCAGCAACAGCAACAGAAGCACCAGCAGCAGCAGCAGCAGCAGCAGCAGGGGCGGCGACAGAGGCTGCGCATGCGTAGCAGCAATGCACGACATGCATGTCGAGCCTCAGCGCCGCACACGATGCCCCCTGCCTGTTGCTGCAGCAGCAGCAGCAGCAGCAGCACATCCGTCAGCAGCAGCAGCAACATCGCACCCAGCAGCAGCAGCAGGAGCAGCAGCAGCAGCAGCAGCAGGAGGCTCCGGCGGGTCAAGGGGCTCGGTGGTGTGGCCGAAGAGGTGGAGAAGCCTGCTGCTTGCAGCAGCAGCGCGGGGGCGTGCTGCTGCTGCAGCGGCTGCGGAGCTGCTGCTGCTGCTGCAGCTGTGCGCTGGGGTGTATGCGCGTGGGGTCTGCGACGGGGTGTCTGTACACCGCTGCTGCTTCTTCCTCCGCGGCTGCCGATTAATCCGCAGCAGAGCTTTGCGGTGTCTGTTGGTAAATGGATTTCTTTATGCTGCAGTGTCTTTATTATTTTTGCATTTGCTGCTGCCTTTGGCTTCTTTGCTGCTGGCGCTGCTGCTGCGGCTGCTGGGGCTGGCCTGGGGGCTCGCTGCTGCGCTGCCTGCTGCTGCTGCGGCGGGCTCCCTGGGCCAGGCGCTGGCTGCTGCAGCAGCAGCAGCAGCAGCAGGCGCTGCAGCAGGAGAGGCCTGGGCAGCAGCAGCAACGCCCCCACTGGAAACCCTTGGCTGGCTGCTGCTGCGCTACGGGCTGCTGTTTCCTGTTTATGCATGCAGCAGCGTGTCTTCCTTTTTGTGGTACGTGGATGTTGCTGAGCATGCAACAGCAATGCTGCAGCAGGAAGAGGACGCAGCAGCAGCAGCAGCAGCAGCTGCTGCTGCTGCGGCGGCGCGCCGCTGCGGCGCCCCCGGAAGCAGCCTGCAGCAGCAAACGCAGCAGCAGCAGCAGCAGCAGCAGCAGCTTCTTTGCCCGTACTGCTACCCGCGGAGCGCTTCGCCGCGCGGCGGCGCTGCTGCAGCGGGGGCCGCAGCAGCAGCAGCAGGGGGCGCAGCAGCAGGCGCAGCAGCAGCAGCAGAAGGCCTGCGAGGCAGCTCTCCGGAAGCCGCGCTGCTGCGGCTCGTGCTGCAGTACGTGTGGTGGTGTCAGGGATCTTTGCTGCTGCCACTTATTCCTCTTTTTGGAAAAAGTTTATCTCTTTTGAATTTTTGTTGGATGTTTTCTTTTTCTTGCTTCGGCTGGAAGCGCAAGCGGCCCCAGCTGTACGTACACTCCGGCCTCTACCAGCAGCAGCAGCAGCAGCAGCTGC